CGACTCAGTCACACACACACACACACACACACACACACACACACACACGTATATGATTGTATCGTTAGATTGCATACATTATTTAAACATTTTGTTCTTGTTTTATCTTTATAATGACCAAAATAATCTGTGTTATTATCTATCATGTTATTGGTTACAGTAATCACGTAAACACGTGCAGTATGCAAATGGTGCCAATATAAAATGAAATATATGTATTCTGAACATTATTGAGACCCGATCAGTCTTATCGTGGAATGTTTGACCTGTGCTTCGCTCGGTCACGTTGGTAGCTTATGGCGGATGTATAAATGTTACTAACATTTTTCAACAATATTTAGCACACTGTTACAACTGTGACATTTGTGTGAGCATGTCAGTGGTCTGATAATGCAAACAGTGATCTGTGCACCAAGAAGAAGCTGGAAGAAATATCGATTTCAGTAAGAAAGAAGATTCGATGAAGGAAGCATGCAGAACGATTATCTTCGTTTAGAAGTTGCGTACATGTGATTTGTGGTAAGATACAAACGAAAGAGTGATTTGCGTCAGAATTTATTTGGCCATTGTTAGATAAGTGAAGTTCTTCGTCCGATAAAAACTATGTACAGCTTTGGGTGAAGTAGTGTTATTTAAAACAGATTATTATATGTAAAAGTACAATTACCGTGATGTTTCTAATTTAATTGGTAGTGCAGTTAGATATTATTTTTATATTCCTTCATAAATTAGTTTAAAACACAGTTGGAAAAAGTATAAAAAAGAAGGAATATAAAAATAACATCTAACACTACTAAATTAAAAAGAAACATCAGGATAATTGTACTTTTACTTTACAAATCATTTAATATTATTTAAAACATTTAAAATTAAATACTGTGTTTAATAAAAAATAAATAATATTTAATAACGTTTAAAAAATAAATTATAAAACGGCGTTCAACATTGATAATAATAATATTTCTATAAAATACTCTTTGGCTGGTTTTAAATTTTCTTATTGTTATCTCCTTGTTTTACAGGCGTAAACGAATGTTGTTTTGTTTGAAGTTTAATTTAAAGGAATTAGTTATCAATCTTTCATGGATTCGAATTTATTGGCCTCTATAATTAACCGATCTACAACTTGTACTATCTTCAATGTATACTTGAATGGAGCGAGATTTGAAGACGAGCCTTACAGAAGCAGACGATATTGCAAGTGGAAGGTCATTGTAGATAATACAGGGCAAAGATGGCTTGCTCGCTTGATTTCTTTGCTGGATTTTTGGGAGGTAAAATTTTGTACAAATTAAATTAATTTACTTACATCTTTTTAAAATTTTAATTATGTTTCTCTTTCAGTGTTTTTATATAATTTATATTATTATCTGCAAAATTATAAAAAATTGCTTTTAAAACTCATCGTTTGCTTGATAAAAACATTCAACCGAGTTGATAGAAATAAAAATTATCATTTTTTTTTCATGATATGTACTTGAGTTGTTTAAATTAAAAAATGCTACTGTGTTAATAAAAGTTGAAATTATCATTTGTTTTTTATGATATCTATACGAGTTCTTTAAATGGCAATAATAAAAAACAATTATTTTATCGTATGACTTGTTTATCACGGATTAAGACTAACACATTTAGAAACAATTTTATAATGACCTGTTTTATCAAACTTACGCAAATGAAAATTTCGCTAATATCAGTTTATGTTTTCGTTAGCTTGTTATATCGTTAGTTAAAAGAATCTGTTGCCAAATCATTATCGTTTAATCATTTAATCTTTTTATTGCGTTAATTTATTACGTAAGTTTTGCGCAAATATGTAAAATGTGTACACGTGTCACGTTAATATTTATAAAACAAATTTTATTTTAGTGTAATAAAGTCCATTTTATAAATTTCAGGATGTGCCGGTATTATGGTGGGATATCCTTTGGATACAGTCAAGGTCCACATGCAGACTCAAGACTGCCGAAATCCAAAATATCGTGGCACGTGGGATTGTTTGCGCTCCATACTCGCAAAAGAATCGGTATTTATAAAAAGTTATAGAACCATGTTAAAATAAACTGGACTTAAAGTTTAGTCGCTTTCATATTTGCAAACAAAATCTATTAATATTAAAAAATAAAAATTAGTAATAGAGCAATATATGAGTACGGCACGTTATTTAGTGCGCATAAAATTCAACATAAAATGATTTAATAATGCAATATATTAATTTATTCCCTTCATGCAGACGAACTTTAAGGGATATATGAATTGTTATTAATTTATTTACTTCCATTCTTTGTCACGCGAACAACCTTTTTATTTAATGATTTTTCTCGATGTTTGATATTCATTGTGTCAATATCTTAACGAAACATTCAACTATATGACTGCGATTTTTATCTATTTGATTTCTTTTATATCTACATTTCTTTAACCTCATATAATATCGCTTGTCTCAGATGAGTTTTACGTGCTATGAAATTTGATTTCTATTGCAATTTTAAAATTTAACTAAATTCACAGGCCTTGGCTTTAATTTGGACAAGTCACTGACAAAAAACAGACTGATTAATTCAAAATGGAGCAGAGTAACGATTCGACCCGTACTCATGCAGGAGCTTGAGATTACATTCCGTTATCGACGATGATTTTGATGAAGATAGCCCAAAATGAGGTCTGAAACGTTTGAAGATTATAGAAGAATCATTTGCAAGTTTCAAATATATATTACTTTATTTAATCATTTTATGTTGAATTTTATGCGCACTAAGTGCCGCGCGGTGCTCTCTCATTGCCCTATTATTGATTGTTATTTTTTAATTTTAAAAAAGTCCTTTATATTTTTTGTAATTTTCATTAATATTTATTAATATTCATTTACTTTTTGTGCAGGTGAGTGGTCTTTATAAAGGAATGACTTCGCCAATCGCAGGGGTGGCTGTGGTGAACGCCATCATCTTCGGTGTTTACGGATCTACTCAGCGGAGCCTGTCCGAGCCTGATCGATTGTCATCGTATTTCCTGGCTGGTGCGTCTGCCGGGCTTGCTCAAACCCCCGTCTCAAGTCCAATAGAGTTAGCAAAAACGCGTCTGCAATTGCAATCCACCGGCCAAGGTAACTTTCGAGGACCGATGCAGTGCTTGAGGAGCATCTATAGGCAGGAGGGTTATCGTGGCGTCTTTAAGGGTCTAGGTATTACATTCCTCAGGGAAGGACCGAGCTTCGGCGTGTACTTTGTGACCTACGAGATGCTGACCAAAACGTCCTCGAAGCAACCGATTTCGACGCTTCACATATTGCTGGCCGGGGGGCTCGCTGGCACAGCTTCTTGGGTGATTTCTTATCCCATCGACGTCATCAAGTCGCGCATACAGGCGGAAAGTAGTAATCGTTACTCTGGAGCTTTGGACTGCCTCAAAAAATCTGTACGCGCCGAAGGATACAGCTGCTTGTACCGGGGTTTGAATTCGACGATCCTGCGAGCGTTTCCGACGAACGCAGCGACTTTCGCTGTGGTCACGTGGACGTTCCGATTATTCGGTGAGCAGCCGAACGAGGCACCGACGAAGGTGGAGGATGTCGCGTCGAAAACCTCGATGCAGACGAAAACTCGTACGGCGAAAGGATATGAATCCTTCGCCAGTAAGTGGAACGTGTTCTTCGACGGTATTTCGAGAAGTAGCGGTTTCGTCACTCCGTCGTACTCCGTCGAAACGATGTTGCCGATCAGCAGACTGATGCCGGATAACAGCGTCTGCTTCGTCCACAACTGCAGACAATCGAATTGTAAGCACGATGCGTTGAAGAACGAAAAGAAGAATACATCCGAGGGTTGGGAGGAGAGAAAAAGAAAATTGAGAAACGACGAAGAAGCTGAGGAGGACGAACATGCTGAGGAGAAAAAGGATTGTCGCAACGTTAAGACGGCCATAAACACATGTACTTGTAATCTGCAACGCGTACTTGGTGTCTCAAATCTGGATAATATACTCGACGTCACTGCAGTCGATGAAGTCTTTAACACGTGATGTGTATTTTTAGTGCAATATGGTGTGCAAGAAAGGAACATAATATTCATTTAAACAGATTTTTCCTTCATAACTAATTTAATTAATGATGAATGCATATATATATATAAATATGTATATCACAAGACAACGCACAAGATGGATGAGTAGTTTAACTGAGGAACGTTCCATTGACGTAAAATGGAGTCCCATACTATGTCTATGGAATGTTTTTACGTTAAGAGGTGAAGTTGGATTTGGATTAACATTACAAACTCTCACTAGGAGAACGTATATACCTTCAATTCAATCGAAGTAATTGAGTAAGCAGAAAAATAATTATAAATTTTAAAATGTGCATATATTATATATTAATCTGCTTGGCGTAGATGCGCTTATAATGAAATTTATAACGGAAAATGTGTGTTTCTATCCTCTTTCTGTTGTTTTATTGCAGCTGCTTGATTCAATCAATATTCATCAAACATCAAAACTGTCATGTTTTATACATTTTTATAATCTCTGTTGATTTGTATCCTTAAAATGAATTAACGCAATTATTACCAAGCTCGCTATGAAGCAGGAACAGAAGGGTCAGAAGAATCTCTTTTGTCAAGCAGCAGTCTTTGATTGATTGGCGGACATGTAAGACCACATGTCACAGCCAGACGCGACATTTATTCGCTTTTAAAATCATACAAAATAGTTTGTATCCCATTTACAATCTCCACACCGATTTCATTTCCCCCCTTCACACTCTACCCGCGTTTTTTCAGTCTACGAATTGGCCCTCGATCCTTCCCCGCCCACGTGTCAAAATTTTGACACATTCCAAATTCCCAGCACATATGAACACACACGGCAGCACATTTCAGACATTGCTAATTGTTCTCAGCAATTAATCGCGAACAGGATTTTATTGTAACCTCGTTTTCACTCCAAATCGACAAAATTATCAAGTTATAAATTGTAGTCACCAAACTTGCGTCAAGATTAATACAATTTGTTAACCTCCCGCGCGATCCCTCTAAATTTTCAGGAAACAATTATTCTTCTATTGAGTAAGTATTGAGCCAAATTAATAAATGTATAGTATATATGATTTTTTTTAATCTAGCGTTTTAATATAGACAAATTTTGAAACAATTAAAATATATTTGTATTTATAATATTATATATACTTAACCAATACAATTTAGTAATTTATTTTGAACAATATATCTTGTATTTTATTTTATTATTCAGCATTAGCCTAATTTTAAATTATTAATCAAGTAATTTTAATGTTAAATGGTCTAACATTTCTGCGTAGTTTTTCATCATTCGCTATATTACAATATACGTTAGATTTAATATTTATTGATTGTTTTTATAGGTTCTTTTTGAAAAAATCAAAAATTTATCAAACTGTTTAAATGTTGTGATTCATCGTTATCGTCGCGGGAACTAAACTCTTTAACCATTCAAATTTTGATATGGATGCAGAGCCAACAACCAGTAATAAAAAAAACGAAAAATACAATACAAATAATCAACGTTTGATAGCCGAAAGTGGTGGCCGTTGTATGAGCACACAAGCGATGCAATCGCTCTATGATTTCCGACAGAATAATTTGCTTTGCGATGCAATATTGAGATTAGAAGATGGTGGTGTCTTCCCTATTCATCGAGCTATACTTTCGGCATGCAGTTCTTATTTCAGGTTTAATTTTAATCGTCATATTCGGTCTGGATTTCATATTAAATTATTTTGTAAATTTATTACATCCAAAATGATTAATTAAATAATAAAGTTATATTAATATTTTATAAGAATAAATAAAAAATATTTAATTATTTATTACTCAGACTTATTAGATTACAAATTTCTTTGTAATAAAATTATTAATAAATATTACATAATAAATACACACGTTGAATGTTACAATCATTATTGGTTAATTAATTTTACAGGACATTATTTACAACTACATTGCATTCTCGTGAAAAAACTGATGTCCTTCTGCCAGGTGTGACAAGCCCAATGATGAATCTCCTGCTGGAATATGCATATTTACGATCCATTGACGTGAATCGTGAAAATGTGTGCGAATTGCTGACCACCGCGGATTATTTGAGCATTGTAGGTGTGCTCGATCTGTGCTGCGATTATCTAAGAGATAATTTAGCGCCGGAAAATTGTATAGGAGTGATGAGATTCGCCCGCCAACATTTCTGTAAGAAGCTAGAAAATGACGCTTACCGTTTCATCGTAGGACACTTTGTCGAGGTGCGATTAGCATAATATAACTCATCTGTATCATTTTATAATCTAATCGTTTCGTCTGTATCATTTTATAATCTATCCTTTTATATAATCTCTCGTTTCTCTTGATTTACATTAGGTGTCGCAGAGAAGTGAAGAAATTTTACATTTACCTATCGAAGAACTGAAGCCGTTGGTCGGCGCCGATGAATTAAATGTTAAAAGCGAGCAGACAGTTTGGGAGCTAGTTTTGAGATGGATAAATCACGATCCGGAATCGAGAAAAGATTATATTGTCGATCTAATGAAAAACATCAGACTCGGTCTCTTGGATACGCAGTTCTTTCTGGAGAACGTCAAAGATCATTCTTACGTCGTTGGCAACGATGCGTGCAGACCCATTATTATCGAAACTTTGAAATTTTTGTATGACTTAGAAATGATTACTCAGAAAGATGGAGAAGTACCAACGCCGGAAATTGCGCGACCCAGAGTCCCGCATGAGATTCTGTTCGCCATCGGTGGATGGAGCGGTGGCTCTCCGACAAATTACATCGAGACATATGACACGAGAGCAGATCGATGGATTCCGGTAGTATTAGATACTTTACAGCTTCCTTCGAACGTCATTTAAGCAATTTTAATAAACCTTGGACATTGCATTACGAGGTTAGAATTTTTTTTTATTTGTTATTATTTGTACGTAGTAATAGAAAAACAAATTGAAAAATAATATAAAAATGTACATATTAATTATTATTTATTTCCATAAAAAAGAAATCAATTGAACGATCGAAATAGCTCCTCATTATTCCTGAACCGCCACAATAAAATTGAAGAAAATGTCTGTTTTATTTAAATGAAGTTCTAACAATTTATTTGTATAAAATCTTGAGTCTTTTAGATCGAGGAAACAGATCCGACTGGTCCGCGAGCTTATCATGGACTTGCAGTAGTTGGTTTTGATATTTATGTCATCGGAGGATTTGACGGCGTTGATTACTTCAACAGTTGCCGTTGCTTTAACGCGGTGACCAAGGTGTGGCGAGAGGTTGCTCCCATGAACGCTAGAAGGTCGAATATATTTCAAAGGGGCTAGTCACTAGTTCTGATTTGAACAGTTTAAATTTTATTGCTGATTTATTTATAATAGAGACAGTTAAAAAAATTATATTAAAACGCAAGACACATATTTATGTTATTATATCTTTAAATATATATTTGCTAATTATATTAACAGTAATAAGGTATGTACGATAAACTGAAGAAAATTATGTAAAGCATAAGAAAAATTGCATATAAACAGATACAAACCAAAGTTTAGTGACTAGCTCCTTGATAATATCATTAGCAATGAAAGCTCGCATCAGAATTTTTTCATCTGTCGCAGGTGTTATGTTAGCGTGGCAGTCTTAAATAATTTGGTTTACGCAATGGGAGGATATGACGGATATCATCGGCAAAAAACGGCGGAACGTTACAATTACAAGACAAATCAGTGGTCTCTTATTGCGTCGATGAACGTGCAAAGATCTGACGCAAGTGCAACGACATTAAATGGTACCATTTCTTAATAAACATACTCTATTCCTTTTTTCTCCTATATGTATCGGACAACATAATTAATCTTTCTATTAATAAACGTTGAATTTTTTAAGTGTCCTATAATATAAGTATTATAAAAATAAGTATCTTATAGTAAGGTAAACTTTTTAACAACATATGATAATAATTTCTGTGTAAAAGCAAAATAAGATATAAGTAATTTTGAAATGTATATTAAGAGAGAACGAGAATACGTAAACCATAAATTTTTTAAATGCCTGCGCGAATCAATCATTTCTGTTATATTATATGAAAAACATTATAATACTTATTGCTAAATTTTTTATGTGCGCTTCAGATAAGATATATATTACGGGTGGTTTCGATGGACATGACTGTATGAATACGGCCGAGGTATATGATCCAAGCACCAACCAGTGGACAATGATAACAGCAATGAGGTCACGTAGGAGCGGTGTATCGTGCATATCTTATCACGGCTGTGTTTATGTTATTGGTATTAAGACATGTACATACTTATTTCAAAAGAAATTTTATTACGGCATTTGCGCTATTTACGCATAATTTATGAAATATACATATAAAGCTGAATTAATTTCTTAATTATGCACTTCTCTCATAATTGTTTCTTTCATTGAAATATTATTTTACACTATTATTCTGATTAATTTTGAGAAAATTATGTTTACAAAGGAGGCTTCAATGGAATATCGAGAATGTGCAGTGGGGAAAAATATAAGCCTTCTACGAACAGCTGGAGCCATATTCCCGATATGTATAATCCGCGTAGCAATTTCGCCATTGAAGTCATCGATGACATGATTTTTGCTATCGGCGGTTTCAATGGTGTTACGACCACGTACCAGGTGGAATGTTACGACGAGAAAACAAACGAGTGGTAATCAATTCTTCGTATCAACCACTTTTATTATTGGGTTATGAAATTTATATGATAAAATAATACAGCTAATGCTAAAAATAGCTGCGCATTTAGTGGCAGCGATGTAATAAATGACCGTAATAAAAATCTCAGTTTGATAATAAATTAACAATTTACCAAGCATTTATGCCATATCTCTCGACAATTTTATTTATTTCTGCAACTTTAAACATAGGTATGAGGCGACAGACATGAATATATGCAGATCGGCACTTTCGGCCTGCGTGATTATGGGTCTTCCAAACGTATACGACTATATTCACAAGCACCGTGAGCGTCTGATGGAGGAAAAACGCCAGAAATTACTGGCTCATGAAGTACGTCGGAGTCAGCATCAGCAACAGCAACAGGAGCAGCAGCAGACGAGGCAAACTTCGCAAATTGGCCAAATCATACCGACACCACCACCTCTACCACGCTAATAAATGAGAACGATAATGATAATAAGCGGAATTTCTAAAACCAAATATCATTTATTATGTAAATCAGTCATGTAACATCTGTTTCACATTGAATTGTGATGTAAATTTTGGATCATTGCCAGACGTGATAGCAATCAGACGAATGAAGGTCGACCTGTCAATAGCACAGAGATAGCTGGTTTATATATTTGGCAAAGACTACTTTTGTCTACTCACGAAGAGAATATTTTATTATATTTGTATAATTTTCAGACTGCTATTTTACCCATATTTGTTAAATTTAATCTTTTTTGATACTGCAGGTATTTCTATTGAATCTTTTTGCGATTTTACACGTGCTATACAATGCCATCTCGAGTAATTAAATTAATTGAGATAAACGGTAAAATAATTTATTCTTTTCTGAAGGATAATGTATCGATTTAATTATTTCAATAATAATAACAGAATGGTACTGCAAATTAGAATAATTGCAGATGTGCATATAAAAAGTGTAAACGAAAAGAATAAGCTAAGAAATTTAAAAAAATAATATAAAATATTATGAAATAATTTTGTGATAAACATAAAGAGAAATTGTTCGCGTAAGAAATGTTTATTTGACGTTTCTTAAATACGACGTTGTATAAGCGATTGCGTGCAGCATTGCCGCATGTAATAGAAAATAAAATTGCATCAACTTAATTGTACAAAAGTGTTATTCATATTTATTTATAACACATTTACTGATCACGCAAGCGAAAGTTGATTATAGAACTTGAATTGCTGCTTAATAATATAATTTAATAATATAATAACATTAAAAATTTATTTTTTAAATTAAGCTAATAATTATTATACTGTTTATTCTTTTATTCTTTTTTTTATTAGTCTACCTTTTTTCAATTAATATTTACCAAAGATATAATTTCTTAAATATGAGACATATTATTTCATTAAATATAAAACAGTTAACTAAAATTACAATTGCATGCAATATATTATTTTCAAAAGTCATTATCCTTTATTACTTCAAAAGTCGTAATCCTTTAATATTTCTCAGTAACTAGAAAAGTAAATAAATGACTGTATTATTATTAAATAAAACTATTTACGTATTTAAATCCACTATTAAATAATCTGTATAATGCAATTCATTTAATTAAAATTATTGAATAAAAAAGTATATCAATTAAATTTAACATTGCTTGCATTGTCAGTGGTTACGGATATAATTGTACTGTTTGCTCAATATTTGAGATAATGACCGCATCTTTTGCAACGACCTGTAGACAGGGAAGACCGAAGTAACATAGGACGGAAAGTGTCGGCAAGCAAGCCGCCTTTGATCCACACGCCCTCTGAAGAAGCGAATCTAAGTAAAATTCACCTGTCAGCCTGTTTCAGGCCATCCAGTTCAGTCTGTGCGTGTTCGCTGGTGACGCGTGTCTACAGGGTAATTAGAAAAACGCACTCGTGCTGCGAAATGTGAATTGTGAGTCATCAAATGTGCGCGCCGCATTGAAGCAGATGACGCATTGAAGCACTGACACGCTCTAAACGCCGACTGTTTATAAATAATTAAATTTCATTTAGCGATGGGGAGCATGTGCGAGATAGTAGGCTACCTTCGCTACGCCGGTTGTCCCGTTCCTGAGTTGGCCAACGTGTGTATCGTAAAACGCGTGTACTTGTGAGCGAGGACGTGTAATCGCTAAGCGGCCGTACGTTCAAAGACGGAGGAACCGTAGTGCTCCGGGTTGAAATAGTGCTCCGAAACGCGTCTGTCAACGCCGCAATGGTGAGCTGAGGTGATACAGGGGCAATGGCGAAAGTCGCGAGAGGGTCCGACTCGGTGCCCACGGTTTTGCTGTGCGAACATTGCAGTAATCAGACATTTAAGCAAATTCAAGACTTCGTTAGGTGGGTCCATCTGCTTAACGTCGAGCAGTTGCTCTACTCCGGTTTCAAGGATTTCATTTCAAGGCAGCACTTTTTTTCTGAATTTCAAAAATGACACAAGCATCTATTTCTTCTCAATAATAATATATTATATAAATGTTATGTAAATGCTTCAAAGCAACATTAGTGAAGCATTTTAGAAGACACATGCTATTTTAATAAGCTGTCGCAATAGTTTTCATATGTATAATATGACGACGCATTATTTTACAATTTGTTTTAGGCACTTGAGAGAACAGCATTGTTCTAGAGAAGGTGGATCTTTCGTATGCCTCTATGCGTATAATGGGGTATGCACTAGTCTTCCCGTGGAAGGTGTTTCTGACAAGGATTATGTAGCGCACGCCATGAAGCACGCAATTATGCAACAGCAACGAAAAAGCAATGGCCAGTTATCCGAGGCAGGATCGTCGTGGACCGTGTATTCCGCTGCGCAAAATCTACCTGCTGTCCTAAACGATCCGTTTAAAGGAAAACAGAGTAACTTTCTAACTCGCACTTGGGGAGATGGATTCGTGGAAAAAGTGGACATTCCGAAAAGTCCGTATCTTCCTGAGATCACGATGCAACATTTCGAAATGTATCTGAAAAAAATAGCAAGGGTAATTTTTCATGAGCCATTACATTTCCTTAATAAATATTGTTCTTAACAATATACAATATGTTTACAGTGTTAGCAATAATCTGTATTTTATAATTGTTCTTTCAGAGATATCGGAAACATTCGCGTATGAATTCGAACGCCAACAGGCCAACTACTCCGAATGAATTGCTCCAAAATTTCCCTAACCTTAAGAAAGTGAAGTCATTGGGTAAAATTCTCTAATATTTATATTATAAAAGATACTAATTAGAAATTAAATTTAGTAATGAGAATATAAACGTAAAAGAAGAATTTATATCTTTGCAAAAAAATAAGTTTAGATTCTATCTTTTTGTGTGCAGCGTATGCTTTTCTCTTTACTAATTAATTTTAATTATTAAAGAATTAATATATTTTTATTACATATTTATTAAGTTAAAATCTAAGTTTAATTAGAAATTCAGATATATTATACATTTACACGTAAGCATAACTTGACGTTTCTTAAGTTTTATTAAATAATTTTATTTTAAATTTTGATTAGTGATATAACCTTATAGTGATTTTTTCAAATTTTTTTTTTAGTTATAAAATATAATATAATTTTTTCGCCATTGAAAACTGCAATATATTTTTTCTTGTTTTAGATCGACTGCAGTTTGATTTAGCTAATATTCCAAAGATTTTCTTAGTTCCAAACCTAGATCTTTCGCAAAAAGATAACTTTGATGCTGTGTTTCCATTTGCGAAAGATGGCCTCTTAACTGAAGATTGCAATATTGTTCTGCACGTGAAGCAAATGCAAGAGAAGGTATGATTATAAACGTAAGAAAAGAACGTGTGAAAGTTTATAAATCTTATTGACATTGAGAGTTTAATATTTAATATTTGTTGTTAAATCATATAAAATATGTTGCAGCTTAGTCATTATCTGGACGTTGTGGAAGTTCGAATAGCGGAACAAGTCGCGTCGAAATCTCAAGCCTTTTTCCATGCAATGACATCTCATGATGTGCTTATGGAACAACTCACTCAAACTATTACGGTTTTAAAAGCACTTAGGAAAAATATTCACCAAGTCGATAAACATCTAGTCAAGAATTCTTTAGAAATTTTACGGTAAATTTATATATGACATATCAGTCATTTGTTTGAAAAAATGTACTAGTATTTCTTAAAGAAACATGAAAATTAAGCAAAGAAAACAGGAATATTAATTGATAACGCAAATTCATCTTAACTGTTGTTGCATCTGCGTCGAAATTATAAGATTGATATCGCATTTGCGTTAAATTATGATTAATCAACTGTTTTTTTTATCTAACTGTTATTAAATCTAAGATTATAATGAAGCATTCTGTTTGTCTTAGATAAGTATTCTTTTAGTTCTCCGTGTATACGACATGTGCGAAACATGATTATCACAGGAGATAATATTTTAGTGCTCGTTCAGGATTTCCGGATCCGGTGCGGATGCAACGACATATATTTAATTTTACACATTTGGCTTGATATATGTTCTTTTTATTTAGCTTGGAACGCGCTAGGTCTAATAGATTATTGGTACAAGAAAAATTGAAGCTCATGGCAACTGTGCATCAAAGTCAACCCATGATACAATTACTGTTGTCTACACCAGATTACGTTGCGGCATTAGACCTTATTTCTACGACGCAAGAGATTCTCTTGCAGGAACTGAACGGAATACATAGTTTTAGGTAAACAGAAATTCTGAAGAAATTATTTTTATGCTTTATTATTCGTCTGCAATTTTATTGATAAAAAAAATTGCCGAAACATTTCAAATTATTGCACGTTTATATGATTTTTTAGACATTTAAGTTCTCAACTAACCGAAATGGAGAAGCTTGTGGACAAGATGCTGTCGACTGAATTTCAAAGATACGCAACGGCGGATCTCAATAGACCGTTAGGTAGCGAGAATACCGTCATAGACGGCGTAAGTACATATTTTCTAACGCATTGTATCCTTAGTGTGTAGCGAACAAATCTCCGTACATCTTTTATCCCAGTGAGATCACTTAATCATGTCTTTAACAAACAGGATAAACTGGTCTCCATAATTTCTGGCCTACTACGTCAGAAACATTTTCAATTTGTGGATACATATAAAGAGGAAGCTGTGACCACTGTAAGAGCCTTAACGAAGCAACGGGTGATAGAGGCTTTGGCGGCGAGTGATTGTTGCAGCGATCAGCAAGCGGCAGCTCTCGAAGTGGGAGGTCTCTCTTTGACGGAAAGATTAACTCTGCTCCACAATACTATACAGTCTTTTACATTTCTTCTATTACGAGTTAAGGTATATAATTTAATAAAGTTATATCCTACAGCCTTGTTTATAAAGCACTCAATTTAATATATTTTCTTAGAAAAGAGTGGTAATAAAAGCCAGAGGAGAGCTATCAAAATATTACGATTATTATAAAAATAAATATTATTTTTTAAATAAAATTGTCTTTAATTTATTTTTCGTTAGCTACAGAATGTTTACTTCAATTTGTGAGATTACGCCAATTTATGGGAGTGCCTTATACTTATGGTCAAGGCCATAATATTCTTCTTTACTATCTCTCTTTCTTTTGCCTATTATTAATTGCAGATTTTTAATAGAAAATATTTTGGTGTAACTTTGAGCATGATATTAAAGTTTCTGAAATTGATTACCACTACAAATACAAACATTTTTTTACCTGTTTTAAAAGTAATTCCAATTATTAACATTTTGAAATTGTAATAGTCACTATTTATTTTTACATTGTGTCTGATTGTGGAATATTTAGTATACATAAAACATTATATATGTGTGTGTCATATATAATAATTAAATGCTCTTATTAGGCAGTTCATGATGTAATGAGAGACACCGCGGACTTATCAGCGGGACGTTTATGCGACGGCACGTTTGATGAATCAGTACCTGATCGATTACTGACTCGAGAAGAGCATTCGCGAGTGATTACTAAACTCAATGATATGATTACCTCAATATGCGATTATTGCCACGAGCGAATGGGAAATCTACTTTCAGCTGGGACAAATGAGAAGGAAAAATTCCACAACGATAAGGACAAGATAATTGCCGATGTTTCGCAGAATAAGCTAGAGGACAAAGAATGTCAAACGTGGAACGATAAGGGCTCTTGGTTGAGTGATAGAGCAACAACCGCTCAAGTTTGCCAATTAGCTAGTATGGTCGAGGAGTTCACGTACGCTTGCGAAAAACTTTGCGGCAAACAATGCACTGCGTTACGATCGGCATTTAAAGTAATTATCGTTTTTTGTGCAAGTCATGTCATTTAAAATTTACTTACTCGGTTGTCAAATGGAGTGACTCTTCTGTCGGTGTGCAATTCACGATGTTTTTTTTTTTTACAGGCGCAAGCGAGTAAATTCGTACAGCGCTTTCATAATGAACGCAAAACCAAGCTGACGTTACTATTGGAATCCGAAAGATGGAAGCAAGCCGATGTGCCATTAGAGTTTCAATCGTTGGTGACATATGTACACGAGAAAAAGTGTTTCCCGCTTAAAATACCCACGTGCGAGGACGGCACGAAGAATGAGAGCGTGGAGAATTTTATCATGGTTGGCGATGAAAAATTCGCTGTTGTCGGAACTGCTCTGATGCTTATGCAGATGATACACGAGTACTGCAGGTAAAGCTATATAAATTACGAAGCGTCGCTCGCAAGCCTCGAGTAACACATTGATTTGCTTTTAGGACTGGCACCGAATTAGTCGCCCTGTCTGGAACCATAGGAAGGCAACTAGCCGAACTGTTGAGACATTGCAATTCGCGATGCTGTCAACTAGTACTGGGCGCGGGCGCGATGGAAGTTGCGGGCTTGAAGACCATCACGAGCACGATCCTCGTATTAGCGGCGCGAAGTCTTAAGCTTATATTGTGGTTTATGCCTTTTGTGAAGGCACACTTTCAAAGTAATTTAACACGCTCAAATCTTTATGTTCAATATAATTAAATAATACACAAATAATATACAAAGCAAAAATGTCAAGTCAAATACGTAAAGATTTATTTAATATCGTATATACGTACTTAATATTCAGCACTCACGGAACAAAATCCAAGCCGAGGACTCATTGGCACATCTGGTATCAGCGGAGGAGTAGCTCTGTTGGATAGCGTCGAAAGAGATATTCGCGCACATGTTCGTGAAATCGAAGGAAAAATCCTCATTATCGTGGATAATCTATTAGGCAAGCAAATATCTAAGTGGACAGCAAGACCTCCCGTGCCATCCAAATCTTTCAGAAATATTTCTAGGTAAATGTTCAAGTAATATCTATTATAATTTTTAATTTCCTTGCCTTTCAAAATTTTTTATTCTTATTTGCAGTTATCTAATGAAACTTCACGAAGCCGTCTCTGGAATTTTGCCTACCATCGAAGTACAATCCCTTTATCGTACCGTAAATTCGTCATTCAAGGAGAAGCTTCGAGAGCAGCTGGTTATGATGAATATAGTAAATAATGGTGGCCCGCAGCACGGCGTGGTTACGTCGGAGCTTACGTTTTATCTTGAAGCCTTAAGAAAATTAAAGGTTCTACCGAGCGAAGAGTTAAATGACAATTGGATGAGTGACATATGGACCAGATAACATGCAGAGCGCGTGATATACTGCATTATAGAGGCAATGAAATATTATAGAAAGAGATGACTAAAAAAAAAATCTGTACATTCGTCTTCCTTTGTATTATTTATTATATTCTAAATATGAAACATGTGGTGACACAAGGTTCAATGGATTTCGAGAAAGAGAAATATCGGTCGAATTAAATTTTGAACATTATGAGCATTTTGAATAATTATTGATAAATTATTATGTTACAGGCAGATTGCGATATAATTTTGCTAGTTTAGTGTGAGAAGAAATAAAGTAAACAAGATATTTCTACGAAATGGATATTCAGTATCTCGAAGTCTCGAAGAAAGAATTTGACAAACACTAATTATAATTAGCTGATCTTGTATTGAGCCAAACAATATTAATTCCTTTTAATGAGTATTATTGCTCATGTTTAAAACTATAGTTTTATGGAAATATTAGATAATGTTATAATGTCAATATATTGACCTCCCTTTCAAGTTTTACCGACCAGTGTTCAAACAAAATGGCAGTAGAATATATATACATATATATGTATATGTACATATATATCTATATATACTATCATGTAGATATAGTTACAGAAATTTTAAGAATATTATTTTTCAAAACAAATTAACAAAAAGATTGCAGAAAGAAACAGCTATTTATTTACTTGTAATTTCACATTACATTTCGCAGACGTTTCGGCATAAGATGGTGTTATAATAGGACCAAATGTAGTAACTTGTAAGTTTTTTGTATGATACTGTGCGTGCAGTGTTTTTGAAGTTATTTGTTTCTTTAAAAGATATTTTGTTTATAATAAAGTTTCATAAGAGTAATTAGATTCAACCAAAATGTGTGGAATACAATATAAGTGACATACAAATTAAACTAAAAAAAATGAACAAATGTTTTAATTACTATGTATCTATTATGTAAATCAAATTGTGCATTGATTATATAAATCAAAATTTAAAGTAGCAATATACGGCCGCATCTAAGAGAAATTATAACAAAAATGTATGCGATATTTGCCAGTCTCAGTTCTGTAGGAAAAAAAATGCATAATATATAACAATAATGTTTTCCGTAACTGATTTATAACAATGCAATTCTTGTGTAATTTGTTAGTTATGATAATTGTACATGGAAGACAATGTGTTTTTCTAATTGTAAAAACATTTTCGGCTACTACTTTAGAAACTACCTGCACCCGCATATATATATATATATGTAATAATAATTTATAAAATGTTGAATATTGTCGTGAATTGTAAGATGCATTCCATTCCTGATTTTATCTAGTCCAAGTTGTACATATGCAAGGAGGATTACATTAAAAAAATAATTGATTTAATTTATATATAAATTTGTAAAATACGCGCGTTATATGCGCGTTATGATCCAATGGAAATGTATTAAAGTTTTGTTGCAAAGCTCTGGAAACATTTTTTATATTACAACAAACAAGTCGAAACTGAATGAAAATGTTCAGAGTTGCAGATTATTACTGACAAGAGGATAAAGATTTTTTTCCCAATGAAGATTCCTAATAAAGATTTTTTTTTACCAAAACTGAAGACCCTTTGTTAGATTATCGCGCATAATATAGATGAAACGTTAAATTGCAGACAAGTGATTAATGTAGATGTATATTATTATGTTTCGTACTATCGTGCATAATGTATTCTGAACATTAACATAAAAGATAAGAAATTAATGACACTACAACTGAATACGGTTATAATATTGTTTATTTAAATAAACTGCTTCTATAAAATGTCTATCAAATTTTGTATAATTCAAGACTGGATATTAATAAGAACGAATTATTTATTACCCATCTCTAAACAGTCATATCGAAAACAGATGTGCTCTATTGCACTATGTTATACATGAAAAAGCTCTTACGCTGCTTACGCATAATGCGTATTTATACATTTATCTATAGTAATTTACAAATTTATGTCATACGGAAGTGGTGAAAACTCTGCAAATAGGCGCTCACCAATCACTGGCTTCGTCTCCATGGTGATAGAAAGTAAAACATATCCATAACCTGAAGAAACATGGAATTGTGCGTATAGAACTACAGTCCTCGAATGTCCTCGATATCAATCTTTGTGTTTTAAAAACAATGTCTACAGAAAATCGGTGATTAATTTATTATAGATATATATCAAAAAACGTTGTAGCTTTGTAAAAAAAACATGTATTAATATATATTATTACATAATTATAATCTTAAGCTATTAATGAATAATATTTATAAAAATACTTTTCATCATTTACTAATTTTGAAATTATAATTAATAAATAATGTGAAAAAAAGAAATCTATCCGTAATTATTTAATACAGATATAATTTAGTAAATTTAATTATCTATCTTCTTTATTTATTTATGGTAACTAACATCGTACGTTTTTAATATATAAATTAATTAAGCCAGAATTAACTTTCTAGTGAGGAGTCTATGCGAGAAACTGCATTACGGCTCGCCGTAGAAGAAGAAAACAGACGAAAGACTGATCCAAATGAAACTCACGAACGATCCATTATTATCCTTGGCAGCAAGGGGGTTGTAAGTGATGAAATTAGGAGTGAACTGTACCAACGCGACGTACTTTGCATTTTCAATTGCATTTGTAGGGCAAAACAACAATAGTGTATCGATTTCTTGAAAAAGACGAAAGACCAAAACCGACTATAGCGATGGATTATTCATTTGGTCGCAAAACTGTGAAAAGTTTAGTAAGTGCCGACTGTATATGAGTGGCGATTATATTTATTTACCTTTCTACGAGAATATGTTTAAGTGACAAATTTTCATTTCTTTGCACTGAGAAATCATAAATTTAAAATTGCATAATGTTAGTTTCAAATTTTACAAATAAATTTATTTTCACACAAAATTATTTAGCAATAATTGTAATATTTTTTATAATTAAGATGTTAATATATTTGTTAACTACATCAAAATTTTAGCTAAGTTATTACTAAATTAAATTTCTAACTAGTATATTCCTGCAGGTGAAAAATATAGTGCATGTATGGGAAGTGGGCTACTTGGCTTCCTCTTTGGTATCTGTTGCAATGACAGGATCCACATTAACACATTCTCCTCATCACACTGTGATATTAATAATGCTAGATTTATCGCGACCAGAGGAATTATGGTCTTCCTTCGAGGAGGCCCTTTCCGTAATACGAAATGGTTTGAAAATGAGTTACGACTCTAACACGATTCAAGAATTACAGGATAAAAGGGCAGCAGATAGAAAAAAAGAATTGGAACGTGGAGTGGATCCATTTTTAATGAAGATATGCATTATAGGTGGACGATATGATGAATTTAAGGTATTTAATATAATTCATATATATATATTGCAAAGGGAGCGAAAGAAAATATATTTTTTGCATTATAAATAGTAAAGATAAAATACAAAAAATCTTACTGTAATTTTAATTACAGATACTAATTGCTATACGGTCGATAATATTGTAGAAAATGAAAATGTTTTAATTAATTAAATTTTAAAAGTGTATATGTAAATTATTAAAATTATTTTCCAGTAATCTTAGAATATTCTAAAAGACAATAGTATTAGTTTGTAACATTTTAAACAATTTATTTTAATACAATCTCTTTTTGTGTATTAACTTCTGTAATAGGAATTTGATTCGAGTAAAAAGGAATTTATCGGGAAGATTCTAAGAGCGATAGCTCATAATTTGGGTGCAAGCCTTTATTATTATTCTTCTAAAGATAAATTTCTCATACGAAGACTTAAAGATTTATTATCTCATTATGGATTTGGTTCTCCATTTACGTAAGTTCTTTGACAAAATTTTGTATGTAATATGTATGATTTATTAAGTTTTAATGTTTACCGCGAGCTTGTCTATTTTATAAATTATGTTTGTGATTAATCTCACTGTGTTTTTATACCAAAATCAAACGCAAGGGAGGATAAGTGCACGGATTATGAGAAGCCGTTAATGATGCCGGCGGGCATGGATTCCTTCGGACGGATCGATTTGCAATTCCCTCAAACGAGACCCTCGGCAATTTTAGACACTATCAAACAAATCTACGTTTCACGTATACCGCAAGTGTCGAGAAGCGACGAAAGTGCTTTGGAGGATCCCAGTAACGACCCTAACTTTAATGAGCCTATTATCGATAGACTGAGAATGCAGCGAGAAGAGGTATACGTTTGTTTAATAGTCATTAACTTTGTTTAATGGTTAATAAATGTTGGCTTGTTTAGGAGATTAGTTAATTTTAGGGATTACATAAGTAAACTAAATGGATTATTTTCTTTCAGGAGATCAGCGTACTGCTGAATGACATGATGGAAGGCCGTATGCCGAAAATCCCTGTGCCTGATCCAATTTAGAAAGTACAAATATTTTCGTTATGTATCCGTTGTGATTTTAAAGCAGTAAGCGAAAGTAGATAGTTTATCTGGTAATTTATGCTATATCTTCTACGTAAGCCATAATATATAGAATTAATAAAGAATTATTCGATGCACAATTATGTTGATAATAGGATTTTTTAAGATTATAATACATCGAAGTTATCTCACTCACTTAAAATTTACGTAAAGATAAGCGAAGCAAAACAAACTGTCACTAGCTTTGTTTTTTGAGATAAACTGATAAGAAAGAATTTGTAATAATAGTAGCTTTCTCCTTAAAACAAAAAAGAAAGAGAAAAATAATAAATATTTAAAGATCAGATAAATATATTTCATTAATAATTTCATATATCTTTTTTGAAATTTTATTACAAGAGACATTTTAAAAGTACTTGCAGGAGAGGAAATAAGATCGTTTTTTAAATGTTGAATTGTCTGTACTTTATCGACGACTAATTTTCTTCTTATTATATGTTCCTCGTTTTTGTACATTTCTTTTATATATATTTTTTGAAATTTACTTTTACAGAACTAACAATACGAAAAGGATGTAGAAGAAATCCTTTGGCATTTTATTTCAATGTTGTTTCTGAAGAAAAGTAACACGTTTTAGAAACCTTCTCTCTTCCCCTTCTTCTCCTTTTGCTGTTCTTTTAAATAAAGTGAACTTTCAATCTCAATTGCAACCGAACATTAAGAAATTCTCTCATAAAATAATTAACGTTTTATAAACTCAGGGTATTCTAGAAACCCAATTCGCTCCTGCTCTGCTCGCGTTCTCCTTTCATCGCAGTGCCCCCGAAACCCCATCCTCTTTCTCTCTCCCACGCACAACAGCGCAAGAGGGTGGTAGGGAGAGAACCCGCGTCCCGCACCCCCGCGCCGACGTGACGCTGTTGCTGATAAGAGGCGCCGCCGCGTTCGCGTGCGCGCCCGTCGTGAATGGGAAGCGCATGCGTATCCCGCTCCGGTCGCTCCCGATACGCGCGCAGGGTATCCGAGCATTTACGAAAACGGGGCTCCGGCTGGGGGGGTCTCGCCACGAAGAGCTCTCTCGTTTCCTTGCCGCCGTTTCCTCAGTGAAAATGCCGCCGCGATAGAGAGCCGCGCGTGCCGTGTGCTCTCCTCGAGCTCTGGTCGCGCCCCCCCGTCGTGACAAGAGTCGGCTGTCTTATCGGAAGAAGCTCACTCACGCGAGAGAGACCGAGACGCTGTCCCCGCTAATAATTATTACACGCTAATCAGTCGCACGCGTGTCACCCGCGATTCGATCTCTCTTTCTCCCGCTGTCTCTCATTTTTCCTCCTCCCCTCCCCGTTCCATTTTCCCCTCTTCCGTTCACACACCGCCTTCTCGTACTCCTTTTCGTTCCTCTCTCGGTCGGTCCTTATCACCGCCCTTCTTCCCCGCCTCGCCCCTCTTCCTCGTACCTTTTACACGCGCGGCACGCACCACGAGCGTTTGACAGTCCGCGAGTGTCACGGATCGGATCGTTTTTCGCGCCCGCGAACTGTGGACGCCGCTTCCGGAGAACGGCGCACAGGTGTAGTCAGGTGAGTTGCGAGACATGTAGCAACTCTTGAACGACAGAGCGAGACAGAGAGCGGGAGGGAGAGAGTAATAGGGAAAGAGGAGGACGACGAGAGAGGCACGATCCGCGGTCGCGCCGGACGCTCGGGAGGTATACCGAGACCGAGGAAACCGGTCGCGTTGATTCTCGGCGCTCTTGCGAAAATCGCAGCCGAGTTGCTGAATTGTTGGAGAACGCGCTGGCGCGCTGGCGCGTACCGGGGGTTCACGTCACGCGACCCATTTACCTGCGACGTACGTCGCGATCGTCGTCGTGGCCTCCCCGCGACGCCGCTGCCTTCCTCGCCGTTATCGATTCTGGTATGAACGCGCCCTCCGCAGACAGGTATCTCGCTGTCTCTCTTTTCCACCAGCGCGAATCTTGAATCTTGAATCGGCACGAGAGTATACGGCTCGTATAGAGGCACCGAATCAGCACGATCGATCATAATGTCTACGCGCGCGTACACGTGAGAGATTTATGCAACACGCTCCGGCCACGCGTGAGACTGCACTGCTCACCGAGATTATCCGGCTGAATTGTACTTCGAATAATATCGTGTGCCCTCTTCCGATCTCTTTGGTCCCCGCGTGTTTTTCTTTGGTAAGAAAAAAAATCACTGCTAACGGGGAACAGTTTTATAATTACGATTGTGATTTCGTCAGGAAATTAAGGCGGTAATCTCTCTTCCGAAGTGCTATCTAAAATGACGTGATATTCTTTGTGATTCGTTAACCGCAAGCTAATACCGCAAGCTTTGATAATGCTCTAATGGAACTTCAGCTTCAGTGTTTCACTTTCTACATTATTCTTCACAATTTTCTTTTCTTCTGAATTTCAGGCGTAAATATTTATTTTACCGCGTTTTTTTTTTACGTATAAATCACGTCGAACAACATCGTCTGAGAGTTAAGTAGAATATGCTTTGCATGCCCGCGTTCTTAATATTTAATTATCTCCGATTATTGATCGCATCGCTCGATTGAGTACTGAGAACGTTATACCTTTGCTCACGTAATCCTTTTATAAATTCAAGAATTTTCGATTTTCCTCCACTCGTTGTACGAAGTTTAATTAATGATAAGCTTAATAGTTGGTATTAAAGATACCATTTGATAATTTTTTGATACGCATGGTTGTTTGGTGGAAATGCGAATTTTCTATTAACGAACGCTCGCGCTCTTTGCATTTTCATTTATTTAACAGCGAAACTGTTTTGAAAAATATTGCCTTTTATTACACTTTTATTACTGCGAGGTAGTCTCGGTCGTCGCGTTAATTATCGTTTCCGTTAACTAGTTTCACGATAGTGCATTCTCTCTTTCTCTGTTTCTTTTTCTCGCTCTCTCTCTCTCTCTCTCTCTCTCTCTCTTTCTCTCTTTCTCAGCGTTGTAAAAAGATAACTGTGTTTCTTGAGCATAAGCGGATGCCCAAACGAACGTGCTAAGATCGCTTAAGACCGGATATTACGTGTCTGCCCTTGCAATGATTTTGGACGCTGGGCCAGGCATTTCTTTGTCACGCAAGTCTTTGCTGTTCGTCACGCTGATGCCGTGCGCGCGATATGTGCATACTGAATATCTTCATTAATTATTTTGAACAATGTGTCTCGATTAATTCGGGGAACCGACAATATTCCCATGTGCAGTTCCTAAAAAGATATATCTACGAGTCGTGAGCAAGAGATTTGAAAGTGATGGTTCACATAAGGCAGTTATATGTATCTCAATAAAAAAAACGGCAAAAAAAGTTACAACACAGTTTAACGTTAGTTTATCGTACTTCTTAGAAATATGTACCGTAATATTGCAAAACACTGAGGTGCCGCATCGATAAACTGGTTCAACTAATTCAGGGATGGCTCGTTACTTCTTTTATAAACGATGATTCTATATATGTGGAGCGCGAAACGGAGCTAACTAAAATTAGCGCTAACAGACGATTTATCCCGATAGAGGAATCGGGAGTAATTCCAATAACTGAATGATAAAAACTAGATATGCTCGTTTCTATCGTATTTCTGCATTTAGTTTTACGGACCAGACATTCAATTATATAATAAATTAAAATCTAATAATATACTGCAAATATATATATTACATATTTTACTGTATTAAAAATATCTCATTGGCTCAGTTAACAGAAGTGAAACGGATATGAATCGGCAAAGACGATTCACTGTGTGTGATCATTATGTCATTAACAATAAGTATTGGTACACTATCCCAGTCATGAAAAATTGCTAACTATAATACATATTCTCTCTCTCTCATGCGTCATTGTGAAGCATATACAAACAAAGGCATATAGTTTTGTGCAGAGCTCATAGACCGAGGTCATCCTTAATGCCGCACTCTCCGCATAGTTCGTAATTAACCTTTCCAACCTGATCGCCTGATCTCGGCGAAACGAGATTCGGAAGGAAATTGTCGAATGATCGTATCTCTCGCGCGTGCGACGGCTCTTACAAAGTAGATCCAATCTTGTCTTTTGTTTTTTTTTTACTCTGATATCTGGCCCTGTTGCGGAATATTCCAAATCTTCATAGTGACGTGATTTCTTCAACGGATCTCGTCCCAGTCACCCTTCTTCGTAATTTTCCTCGTCCGTATTTAACCGCTGGGTTTTTACTCAGTCGCAAAACTTTTCGCGATCTGGTCGACCTTGATCTCGCTAGTGGCTCTCGGCGTGTCGCCTGGTATGCTTTTAATTCCTGTTTGAAAGCGCATCTTCCTCCTTCCCCCGACGACGCCAACGTCTCTAAGCCGTCTGCGTTTCTCAGATCAGAAAATATTTCAGACCTACTCTTGCTTTCATTTCTGCATTCTCTTTTCCAAATTGATATTTAAATTTTATATATATATGTATATATATATATATGTATATTTTTAAATCTTAAATACACGATATACATAATAGATATACATATATTTATTAATTATCGCTGTTACATATTTTAGTATATCATTTAAAACTAACGATGCTACGATTGCTTTTCCATGTACATTCCACAATTGCTCTTAAGAAACGTTGCCCGAGAGACCGATCGAAATGAACCTCTCGCTCCCCGACGATGCAGGCGTGTCCTTGTCCTTCTTTCGGGGACAGTAAAGGACCCCGGCCTTCATGCCGGCGAATTTGATTTCGCGACGTAGATTATTTCGTCGTGACGTCACGCGCTGCCCGCATGTATACATCACTGCGACGGGGATCGTTTTGGCTCTCTTGTAGACTATCGATCGCAGGTAGAACTGCCGCGCCGCCGGTGCGACGAGGAACGTGCAGTTCGTGAGCGGCGAAGTCAACAAATGCGTGGTTGCACATGGAAAGCGGGAACACGGAGGGAAAAATGTGGATACGTACCTGGCGGGACCAGGCCATCAGGTCGCACGCCATTGCGGTATTTTCCTGGACATCGGCTTTTTCGAAGCACTTTAGCAATTTTAGCCATTAGCCCTTTCCACGTAATGAATAACAGAGTACTACTCTGAAACATTCATATAATATTCATATAATTGACTTAACAAGATAAATCAGTTTGAAACAGAAGAGAATAAAGATTTTATTGTATTATTGTGCCTTTGCATGACGATTAATATGCATGTAAAAGGAGCAAGTTATTAAGTAATACTTTACGTTAGAAGTTATATATACATGAAGAGCTAATTTGAGTTTTATAATATCCTAAAAATTAAAATAGAAAATAATTATGTACTACATGTAATTATGTAAATATTTGTGAAAAACCTTTTAATATAATTTATCATATTCAATTATCAGTCATATTTAAATATTTTTAGATGTTCACTTTACATAGATAGATATAAAATAGTTTTGGGTCATAAAAATATATCAGTGACATATAACGAATAAATCAGATTGGATCTAGCAAATGAACAACAAGTTCTTTTCCGAGGCAATTTAGGATACTTTAAAGTGTGATTATTGGGTTTTTCTGACGTTATTTCCGTGACTTGCAACATTGCAGATAATAGCACCGTGTAGAGTACTAGTAACA